TAGAAAACATGAGGGCAGAGAGAGATTTTCGAAAGCGATATATGTATGAAAGAGACGTTATATAAGCAAGTAAGAGAGAAATTACAACGGCTCGCAGTATATAACCTTGGGTAGGGGTATACATATATATCTACATATATACATATATAGATACATATATACATATACCCTTTTAACTATTTTAAATTTTTAAATTTAAAATAAAGTATATTAAAAGCTTTATTTAAAAAAAAAATGTATATCATTTCCGCAAATTTGAGCCTACAGTTCCAAAAAATGAATAATATTTAATGAATAAAAAAGATAAAGAAAATAAAATGAGAAATTCAAAGCTTGAAGGTTGAAACTTGAAGAAGACGTTGAGAAAGAACGAAGTAAACGAGGGCAAGAGAGAGAGAGAGTGAGCAGCCCACGAGTTCCGAGTAGATCTTGATTCGTGATGTTGCGGCATTTAGCGACAAGATGGGGTATGAACCCTAAATCCGATGGCTATGGCCTTTTCCTTTCCCATTGTGCATTTACGCTTCCTTTTCTCATCCACCTGTTTCTTCATACCCCTTTCTCTCAAATCCCTCTCTCTCTCTCTCCAATTTCAGTCCCATTTCGCGAAATTTTCCCTTTTCTTGATCCGCCACAATTTCAGTCATCTGATCACGTGTTTTTTGATCCCGTGAGAATGTGATTGACTGCAATTTCTCAGGTAACTGATTCGTTCCCTCTCATTTCGTTTCCTTTTGTTGATTCATGATTGTCGTCATCACCGTAGGTGATTTGATTAGATCTTTTGTCGATATCTATGTGTTTAGATCTTTGCAGGATGTTGATTTTGATTATGAGTTTGCATCTCTTTTTCTATAGGTGATTGATTTTGGGAAGTTTTCGCCGTTTTGATTTTTGACCTAGCCATCGACAATGGATATCCTTGGTGATTCGGATAAAAATTCTTACCGGAGGTATTTCGAATTGTTGCCTTCTGAATTTTGATTCCATTGCTTTTCTTCCTCCTTGGATAACATGTAATTGGGATTGCTTGTGCTTCGTTGTAGTCTTTCAGCGGCCGTATCTTATGGAATTGCTTCGATGGCTATGGTTTTTCTGAATAAGGCCGTACTTATGCAATACTCGCATTCAATGACCCTTCTCACTCTGCAGGTAAATTTTTGCCATTGGGTTTCATTTTGATTTATCTCGTTCTCTTTTTTTAATTGCTTTCTATCTTTATTTGTGTTAGCAATTGGCTACCACATTACTTATTCACTTTGGTAGAAGCATGGGATACACGAAATCCAAGGGGCTTGATATGCAAACAGCTAGGAGAATTCTTCCTGTCTCGTTGTTCTACAATGCAAATGTGGCGTTTGCTCTTGCTAGCTTGAAAGGGGTTAATATCCCAATGTATATCGCCATTAAAAGACTCACTCCTCTTGCTGTTCTGATTGCGGGATTCTTTTCAGGCAAAGCAAGGCCCACCACACAGGTTTTCCTCAATGCATATTGCTTAGTTCCCTGAAATGCTTGACTGTCTTGCGTAGCTTTGAAATTTAATCTATCTTTGGCTGTGAAAATCTTCGTATTACTGCCATCATGATGACTTGTGTTATAATTGTATAGCCAAAACCCTGCTTCTGAATCTCGAATCCATTGTTATACTTGTTCAACCAAAACCATGCTTCGTGTCGAATTCAGGTTATTCTTTCAGTACTCTTGACTGCTGCTGGGGTCCTTGTTGCTGCATTGGGAGATTTTTCGTTTGACCTCATTGGTTATAGCATGGCCTTCACTTCTGTTTTCTTCCAGGTATGTTTGAGTTGGTCTTCACTTTTGTTTTTGATAAGAGACTTAAATGGTGTTTTGGTCTAGTGTTATAGTTTATACGGGCGAGGTCAGTTTTTTGGGTTCATAGGAAAATGAGTTGGTGTGCTGTTTTTTACACAGGTCCTAGGGAAAGGAGAGCATTATAAATAAAGAGATGGTGAGTGTGTGTGAAAAGAGAAATATGAATTTTTTTTGGGCCATCCGAGTAGGTTCAAGCTATGGTGACCACTAAACTAGGATTTAATATCTGGTAGGGTTAGACCGTAGTCTTGTGAGAATAGTCGAGATGCGCGCAAGCTGGCTTGGACATTCATGGATATCAAAGAAAAGAAAAAGAAGCTTTTTAGCCCTCTTGAAAGGCAACTATTGAGTTTTGACCTTTGTATTTTTCTTTTCTAGAGTATATGTAATGAGTTCCCATCAGTTTTATCCTTAGAAATGCTTAAGGACGTCTAATAATTAAATGTTTGAACTTATGAATTCACATATTTCTCTTTCTCTCTTTTTGTTTATTCTTTGTTGCAGACTATGTACCTTGTATTGGTAGAGAAATCGGGTGCGGAGGATGGGCTTACTTCTATTGAGATCATGTTTTACAACAGCTTTTTGTCGCTTCCATTTTTGTTATTTCTCATTATAGCTACAGGCGAATTCCCAGATTCTTTATCACTTCTATTTGCAAAGGTCAGTTGCTTTTTAACCCATTTAATCTTTGTCGAACTCGTTAGTTTATTCAAGACAACAGTTCATAAGGAGAAATGCTAGATTACTGGAGGAGTTTCCCCTCGACCTTTGTTAGTATCGGCATACCAGGCATTCTATGCCTCCTTTCCTCTACTGATGTTTTAAACTATTTATTCGGTATACCATAGCTTCTTTTGGAGGAAAGAGCTGGACTGCTCGATACTGGTGCTTTTGTTGGCATGGACTCCTTTTTTAACAAATCTCGGGGAGTCGAGTTGAAGTGGCTTTTAGAAATGTTTTATGCATTATATTAAGCGGTAATTGTTTGATTGAGGCCGTGAAATGTTTTGTGCTTTTGGTTTATGTCATCAACCTAGAGTTCAAACAGTTAGAACTCACGACTCTCCACAATGGTATGATATTGTCCATTTTGAGCATAAACTCTCGCGGCTTTGCTTTTGGTTTCTCTAAAAGGCCTCATACCAATAGAGATATGTTCTTTACTTATAAATCTATGATCAACCCTTTAATTAGTCGATAAATCCATGATCAACCCTTTAATTAGTCGATGTGGGACTCCTCTCCCAACATTCCTCAACACAAACACTTTCTTGTGTGATATAAAAGATTGATTTTAAATGAAACGCAAACTATTGACAGGGCTTGTGCTGTTATTGCATATCTGATATCTCCCATTTAGTATGGATGCCTTCATGGCATAAACATAATTTGCAAATTAGTTAGGATTCTTTCTATTGTTAGGCTGTGTGCTAAGCCTAAGACTATGCTGCATGAAATTAAAGGAAAAAAAGATGAGATTTTGCTTGAATGTAGAGATTCATTGCTGCTGACTGAGTTTCAGATAACAACTTTTGAGATTGCATAAAACAGATGTGTTCTAGTTTATAACTATAATATTCTTTTTCAATATTTTCAGAGTAATTCATTCTCCTTTTTGGTTATCTTCCTTCTATCATTGGTGATGGGGATTGTTCTCAACTTCACTATGTTCTTATGTACCATAGTAAACTCCGCTCTAACAACAACGATTGTCGGAGTCCTCAAAGGGGTTGGATCGACAGTAAGCATTCTCTCTTTCTAGACTTCGTTACTCTATCTCTGTAGCCAATGAGTTATGTTATCTAAACAAAGTTCGTCTCGTTCGTCCTTTTGTTCCACAGACGCTTGGATTTGTTATATTGGGTGGCGTGGAAGTGCACGCTTTGAACGTGACAGGATTGGTTATCAACACGGCTGGAGGTGTTTGGTACTCGTATGCCAAGTATCAGCAGAAGAAGAGCAAGCCACCAAAGTTGACATCGACATAGCGACTCATCATCGTAAGTAAGGTAGTATGATAAAGATTAAAGTTGGTGAGAAAAAAGATATCTAGGTTGCATTTTACTTCATATTATAGCATTTGTGATTCGCTTGTCAAATAAGAATGTAGATGATACAAGCAATTTGTTTTCAATTGATACGTTTTTACTTGAAAATTGTTGTGCTTGAGCTTGAACCTTATTTGTTATTGTTGCTCGTGGAAACCTAATTTAAATGAAAATATGTGTAACTTTGATCTTAATTCAACTAAACGATTCGATCAAAACTGCCTCGAGGGAAGTACTTTGGAAGCTCGGTCAGTTTAAATGCAAGTCGCAGTAACCTTCTATTTAAGATTTAATATCTTACGAGTTATGTTTTAATTCATAATATTTGGATGTTATAAGTTTCAATGACACCGTTCATTTATGGGCCGTATTTTTCTCTAATCTAAATGATGTCGTTTTTGAAATGTGCAACTATTTATACGAAGTTTCAAATTTGAACTGCAAATATTAAATGGGAAGAATTTTTCACATGAATTTGTAAATGTAAATCTACTTAAAATCATTGTTTGTTGCATCAGGTAGTCATTAGTTTTTTTTTTTTTTTTTTTTTTTTTGGTTTAGTGAATGAAGAAATTTTAAAAAACAACATTTTTGTGTTTTTATTTTATTAATTTGAAAATTGAAAATATAAAATATATTTAAATTAAATAAAACTCAATTTGATTTTTGAATTAAATTATGTATAAAATAACATTTTATTAATTATATGATATGGTAAATTAATAATTGTACAAATTTTATAATAAAAAATTAAAAAATTAATTAATAATAATTTATATTCAAATTTTAGAAGAACCAATTAACAATATATTACATATATCTATATTTATGTATATAAATTTATTTGACATGTTTATTTTTTTTTTAAAATTATCAGTTTATCTCGATATATTGATTATTGCATAAAAAAGTTTGTTGTTGGAATCTCTATTCATCGCATAAAAATATTTTGTAAATAATTAATTTTTAATTTTCTTTTTATAAATTATTCAATTAGTTCCTCTCTTCAAAATAGATATTTAAAAAATAAAATGAAGATATTTTAACCATTTTTCTCATGTATTCAACAGCCTAAAACTGTCATCCTCATTGGAGTTGTCTATAAATACTCTCCCACCCGTTGGCTCTTGTAATCGAAACTGTAGCAAAGGAAACCAGACAGGACGGACCATCCGAACACGACCTGAGTCGGTTCCCAGTACCAAATCGACTTACGATTTTCAGGGTTTAGAGGCTTCGTCGTTCCGTTCGATCCTGATTTCTTCCATCATATGTGGAATGGGAGAGGACAGACGATAAGCACTCGAAACACCTGGTAACCCTAATATCCGTTTTTTGTTATTGGATATTTTGAATCTTGATATCGCCTGTTCTTCCATCAGCAGTATTTATTTGTATCTTAATTATCGATAAGATTCTGTTCAAGATTTTGAAATAAAATCACTGAATTCGACCTTGAAAATCCTTTTCCTCCTGTTGATCTTGATTCGGGTTGAATCCCTTGGTAGATTGGTGAAGCAGGGAAATGTATAACGGTATTGGATTACAGACGCCGAGAGGCTCTGGCACTAATGGCCACATTCAGACGAACAAGTTCTTCGTGAGGCCGAAGGCTGGAAAGGTTTCTGAAGACACCAGAGGATTCGAAGAAGATCAGGGCACTGCCGGTGTTTCCAAGAAACCTAATAAAGACATTCTCGAACATGATCGCAAGCGTCAGATTGATCTCAAGCTTGCCATACTTGAGGACAAGCTCATTGATCAAGGTTATACGGCCGATGAAATTTCTGAAAAGTTGAAGGAGGTTCGCAAGAATCTGGAGGAGGCTTCAGGTTCTGAGGAAAAAGATGGGCCTTCTGCCATCGTAATTGCAGATAAGAGGTATGATCCTCATGTTTTAATGCATTTTTTGTCTTGCTAATATTAATTATCTGTATATCTTTTGTTGATTATGATCTATGATCGTATTAGTAGTTTTGCGCCTGGTGTGATCTTCTTATTTTGTGTGCAGAATGGATATCTAAATGGTGTTTTCCTTGATGGAATAGGGTATCAGTTACACAGACTCACCAAATTGCTGCGAGAAAGGAGGAGCAGATGAAAACATTGAGATCTGCTCTTGGGTTGGGTTCTTCGGACGATTCGGAAACGCTCAAGGAAGGGATTTCTGATTCATCTAGAAGTGGAAGAGAGGGTCAAGATGCTGATACTAAGCGTCGTGAGAAGACGGAACATTCTTTTTTGGACAGAGAATTGAACTGGAAAAAGCATGCCGTTGACGACGATGAAGATGACAAAAAAATGGTTTCGAAAGAGTTGAAAGGTCATCAGAAGGATAGAAAACGAAGGGCTAAGGATGATTCTTCTGATACTGATTCTGGTGGAAAGCATAAGGGAACCAAGAAGAACATGAGAGATAATAGAAGGAATGATTCTGAAAGCGACCTTGACAGAGATGTTGACAAGAAGTACACCGCCTCAAGAAAGACGAAAAATAGAAGGCATGATAGTGATGATTCTTTCGATGCCGATTCTGGTGGAGAACGCAAGGGAACCAGGAAGCACCTGAGAAAAAACCGAAGATATGATCTCGAAGGTGACCAGGACAGTGATGCTGACCAGAAACATATCACTTTAAGGAAGCATAAGAAAAACAGAAAGCACGGTAGTGATGATTCTTCCGGTACTGATTCCGGTGGAAAGCACAAGGAAACCCGGATGAACAGGAGATATACTCGAAGAGATGATCGTGAAAGTGATTTCGACAGTGATGTTGAGAAGAAATCCACCACCTCAAAGAAGCAGGGGAAAAACAGAAGGCATGATAGTGATGATTCTAATTTATCTACAGATGGTGATGAGTTTGGTATGGGTAGCCACAAGAAAGGCTCTGGTAGACCTAAAAGTCGAAAGGTCAAGAAGAAGCAAAGAAGCCGAAAACAGGAGTCGACTGATGAATCCAATTCCGACAGTGGGATTGATCACAAAGACAGGCAACTAAAGCACAAGAACCAGCATGGTAAAGGATATGGAGTAGATAGTGACAGCTCTGACCACGACAATTCTGGTTCCGATTTTGGTCGTGACGAGAATAAGCATAGGTATCGTAGCAATAGTACAGGAAAACCCAAGGTAGACAGGGAACCCAAATCCAAGAGTTCAAGAAAGCATCCTAAGGAAGACATTGGGAGACGCAGACACGATACCGATGACGATGAAAGTGGTGGTAAGACAGTCGCAAAGGAAAAAATGGCTGCGGCTAAAAGGAAATATGATGACAGTGATGATTCAGATGATAGAAAGTACCATGGTAAACACAAGAGAGCTAAGAAACATTCTTCCAGTGATGATTCTGATCTAGAGAATAATTTGTACAAATCTAGTCAGCATACGATGAAAAGCAAGAGAAAGTTCGATGAAGGTGGTGAAGATAACCAGCGAGAAGCGAAGTCTAGAAGTCGAAAATCTACACGAGAGTCGGATTTCCATGGGGACCCCAAGAAAGAACCTGAATCAAACAGAAGAACTGGCAGTCGTCGGTGCGACGAGGCAAGGGATGGACGGTTCAGGGACGACTCCAAAATGGATAGAAAGTTGACTCGAACAGGAAGGAGATTTACAGAAGAAGAAGAGCATGGAAGTACTCGTCATCGGAAAGCTAACGAGTCTCGCCGGGGCAGTAGGACTGATGAAGATATTGAAGAGGAAAAAAGGCAGAGCAGATATGAGGAGCATAGAGGGAGAAAACATGAAAGAAGGTAACGGTTCCATGTTCTTCGTAGTTTTGGCTTATTGTCTGTATAAACTCTCTCTACAACTTGAATCATGATGTTTCTACTTTTATGTAATGAAACAACTTCATCTCTTAGGTTGAAATTATATGCTTTAACTAGTTAAACTATACGTTCTACCTCACTCACCGCTCATTTAGAGACTAACTCCCACCTTGCACGAAAGCATCTCGACGGTAAGAACTTGTCGGTCGGGATCACTTGTAAATTTAGTGTAGGGCAGCTTCAAAGTTCAAAGTTCGATCTCTAAATCAAATGGGTCTTAAGATTTCAAGTACCAGTATAAAATCTCACAAATTCCAAGCCCTCACAAAGCTCGAGCTTTGCTATAAGTTTCTTGAACCACATTTCATATAGAATCACTCAACCAATTCAACAAGTTCCTTTCTCTATTTTACATTGTGGTCGTTTTTGGAAGAACTAAACTCGAAGGTAATCCAAACCCGTTCATCAACAATCTCTATTTTACCGAATAGAATTATTCCTAATCCCATGTCGGGAGGGTACGGTCGGGTAGACAAGAAGAACTACAGAGAAAAGGTCCTCATCTTATTCTCCTGAAATCTTGTAGAAGAAAGGACTTGTACACTATAATGTGCATCATTATCACTAAAACATTTTACATCATGTAAAGGAGCAATCAGCAGATTCAAATCTCAACATGATATACAGCTAATGTACGTGAAGAGTGTAAGGTAAACTAATGAAATCACAAAACCTGCAGCGTTGTCGTCGTCGTTTTTCTTTCGCGCTTTCAAAGCATCGTCCCGCGAATCCCACAGTCCAGCATTTCATGTCTTCCTCCTCTGTTAAAAGAAAGCACAAAGTTCCAATATATATGCAGTTTGCAATCTGAACAACACAGACTAACTCGGTTCGAAAATGGACGCATAGAGCGGAGCGGAAATTCAAGCATATGGTTACACAATCCATCCAACAAAAAGAAAGAATTACAGCATAAGCCTTGAAAAATTATGACTACAGATCAATGCAAGAAGATTATAAGATCCTAAAACATAGATGCAAAAGAGGGCAAACGATACTTATAATTTTTTAATAGAAACCCCTCCTATGGAGGTTTGAACATTGCTTTCCCGGAACAATAAGCTGTCTGGTAAACAAAACTCCCTTTCAATCAAGGATCTTATGCTTTTCCGGTGAACAAGGCTGCATAGCCTATGCTTTGCAAGCCTATCACGATCGACTGTTTCAACCAGATAGTTTATTCATGAGAAAGAGTTCTCACACCCACGAGAAGTCGATCCTTTTGATTAGGAGGTCCAATAAAACTTAAAGGAGGTTCCAAGATTTGAAATATTCAGAATCACCCACACAATGCAAAAAGATAGAAATAGAAAGACATGGAAAAGAAACGAAAAAGGTACGACTTACATCAAAACGCTGTAGTTGTTTTTCCTCGTTATGAACATCTACAAAATTTTGAAAATACGCCGCAGGCACCCTCAAAGTTTGGTGCTTCTTAAACGACTTCAGATGAAACGTTAGCAGCCAAAAGCGTTCCACGAAACCCTTCCTCGGTATGTTGCATGTTCATTTTATGATCAGAAAGTTCATCTGTCCATGACATCAAATACAAGTTTAGGACATAAACAACCACCTTTTTTTAAGATACGAGACCGATTAGCATAAGAAATTATCGAAAACCTATAAGAACGCTAAGATCGCTGTAAGACACGTTGCTGGCGGCTACAAGCATAAATGGCAGTACAAAAAAGTGTATTACTTTGTTAGAAGAGCAGGGATTACAGCCACTCACTGTCTACAGTAAGTCATCTATGCCTCAAAAAAGTTCTAAGGATGCAGAAGATTCCAGTTACATAATTGGGACGACGCTAGACCACGAGACGGTTAAGTTATTGGCGGGTCCTCAGTGAATCTCAAGAATTCAGTGAGCAGGCAAACATACAGAGTTAAGTGTATCTAAAATCACCTATATAAAGAACACTTCAGGGAAATGGTCAAAGCTCAAATCTAGAATGTGAGATCCCACATCGATTGGAGATGGGAACGAAGCATTCTTTATAAGAGAGTGGAAATCTCTCCCTACCAGACGCGTTTTACAAACCTTGAGGGGAAGCCCGGAAGGAAAAGCTCAAAGAGAACAATATCGGCAAGCGGTGGGCTTGGGCTGTTACAAATGGTATCAAAGCCAGACATTGGGTAGTGTGCGAGCAAGGACGCTGGGCTCCGAAGGAAGTGGATTATGAGATCCCACATCGGTTGGAGAGGGAAATAAATCATTCTTTATAAGAGTGTGGAAACCTCTCCCTACCAGACGCATTTTAAAAACCTTGAGGGGAAGCTCGGAAGGGAAAGCTCAAAGAGGACATTATCCACTAGCGGTGGGCTTAGGCTGTTATAAATGGCATCAGAGCCAGACATCGGGCAATGTGCCAGCAAGGACTCTAGGTCCCCAAGAGGGGTGGATTGTGAGATCCCACATCGATTGGAGAGGGGAACGAAGCATTCCTTATAAGGGTGTGGAAACCTCTCCCTACCAGACGCGTTTTAAAAACCTTAAGGGGAAGTTCGAAAGGGAAAGCTCAAAGAATCACCATTACGCTCTTTTCTATATATAGGAAGGCTCGTTTTCTTATCATTTTTCAGTTTATAATCTTCCCTTGTTTCCATGATGAGCTAATACTTGAATTTGTGCAACAATTTGAGCAAGAAAATTGTATTTACCAGCAATATCACGATGTTCGTGAATCTCGGAATCCATTACCCATAGTTTGTCCCCAGGAAATATGTTCTTGTCAGCCATAGTATCAGTTTCCCCATCAATTATCCTATTACCTTTGCGAAGTATCTGGTTTTCCTTCACAACCTGCAAAAACCAGTTTCGACATGAATTCATAACATAAAACATCGATTTCCCTCGTTTTTAGCTCGTACATACTTTATAACATCTTATTTGAAACATCAAAAGTACACCATAGATCTAAAAAACTGCATTAAGAAGTGTACAAAAGGACATCTGGACCAGTATTAGAACGAGCACTCCAAGCTGCGACAAGGTACCTCGTTCGTTACCTCCCCCTAATCAGTTTGTTCCACTTCGAGTTCATTTTCAGAGCCCAAATTTTCCGAAAAGGGAGGGAGAGAGTCTAAGTTTTCCCCACCTAAGTGTTATCATTTATATAAACATGCAAGACAACATGGAACATAAAAGATAGTTTCAGCAAACCAATTCAATTGTCATATGCATTCTGTTCTGAAAAGCTTACCCCAAAACATTCCCATATCATCATTTTTAGCTGGTACACTGAAGTCGAACCAGAAACTTTTAGATTAACGAAATTCCCCGAGTTTGTCTTCCTTGCATGCTTTGAGATTCGACGATCTGGATCAAAAGTGGACTCGGGAGCTTCCAAAACTGATTTGGGCGCTTCCTTCCCACGAGCAAAGTACACGCAAATATCCTCGCCGATATAGTTTAGTTTCTGCATTAGCTCGCAACTTTCTCGTTCTCCTATACATTCTTCACATACCTGTACTCCATAAACAGACCACTTTAGGACCAATGAAGCAAGCAAGAATTTTGGAATGGTTTGGAAGGAAGCTTAGTGCAATGTGGTCTGTGGCTAAAACACTTTTGTGAGAAATTTGGTTAGAGTAATTGAAGAACTTTTGGTGTAACGGTCTAAGCCCACACCGCTAGCAGATATTGTCCTCTTTAGGCTTTCCCTTCCGGGCTTCCCCTCAATGCTTTAAAATGCGTCTTCTAGGGAAAGGTTTCCACACCCTTATAAAGAATGCTTCGTTCTCCTCTCCAACCACCCCTCTTCAGGGCCAGTGCCCTCACTAGTGGGGGTTCCACATCGATTAGAGAGAGAAACGAGTGCTAGTGAGGATGCTGAGCCCCAAAGGGGGGTTGATTGTGAGATCCCACATCGGATGGAGAGGAGAACAAAACATTCTACAAGGGTGTGGAAACCTCTCCGTAGCAGACGTGTTTTAAAGCCTTGAGGGGAAGCCTAAAGAGAACAATATCTGCTAACGGTGAGCTTGGGCCGTTACATTTGGAATGTTTTAAGAAGCCTATACGAATCTTTCTTCTACGTGTTTTCTCTAAAGCTGTAGCAAATGTTTCTTCCGCCTGTTCGATGGAAATAAAAGAGATTTTTCATGAACTTCTTTGGCCCTGGGCTTGGGAGGATATCTTATCATCTCTCCCTTCTATACATTTAATTTAGTTTGATGAAAAACTTATCTTTTTATGAACAAATTTTACAATTAACCCATCAAATGGAAACAGATTTCGGATTCAGAATTACCTCGGGATCAGTCTTAAGTAGAAGTTGTTTGAAGTCGCCATTGCTAACTTCATCATTGGAGTCGAGATGCTCTAAGGACCCGTCCATGTCGTTCCCTACACAACTACTCGACTCAATCACGGCAGAAATGCAGCATGCCTCGCTACCTTCCCACTCTTCACTGAAGCATTTCCAATCGTTCTCTGAAATGATTGTTAAAACATCTGCCTAAAGTTGAGGCACAAAAAAGAAAGACGTAAAAAAATATGAAATGTAAAGGCATAGATTGTTTTTTACTTCATAAGATTTATAATCGCGTGATTGGGCATGAAGGCATAGTAACTTTTAGAAATTGTTTAGGAAAAGTCACAGTTCTGATTACAAAACAAATTGAAGAAACAGCCCAAGCCCACCGCTAGCAGATGTTGTCCGCTTTGGCCCATTACGAATAGCCGTCAGCCTCATGATTTTAAAACACATCTGCTAAGAAGAGGTTTCCACCCCCTTACAAGAAATGCTTCATTCCCCTCTCCAACCGACATGGGATCTCACAATTCATCCCCCCTTGGGGGCTAGTGTCCTCGTTGGCACATCGCCTGGTGTCTGGCTCTAATACCATTTGTAACAGCTCAAGCCCACCGCTAGCAGATATTGTCCGTTTTGGCCTGTTACGTATTGCCGTCAACCTCACAATTTTAAAACATATCTGCTAGGGAGAGGTTTCCACACCCTAATAATGCTTCGTTCCCCTCTCCAACCAATGTGGGATCTCACAATCCACCTCCGTTGGGGGGGGGGGNTGGGGGGGGGGGGCAGTGACCTCGTTGGCACATCGACCGGTGTCTGACTCTGATACCATTTGAGCTCGAGCCCATCGCTAGCAGATATTGTCCGCTTTGGCCTGTTACATATCACCGTCAGCCTCACGGTATTAGAATGCGTCTGCTAGGGAGAGGTTTCCACACCCTTATAAGGAATGCGCCCGGTGTCTAGCTCTAATACCATTTGTAACAGCTCAAGCCCACTGCTAGCAGATATTGTCCGCTGTGGCCCGTTGCGTATCACCGTCAGCCTCACGATTTTAAAACGCGTATGCTAGGAAGAGGTTTCCATATCCTTATAAAGAATGTTTCGTTCCCCTCTCCAACCGAGGTGGGATCTCACATTAAAAATGATAAAATTAAATAAACAAAAACAAAACAAAATGATGTTGCAAAGGAAGAAGAATGATGAATTTAACTAGCAGCATAGAAAAAAACGAGTTCACATTCAAATAAACTCGAGCAGTATACGTACATGGGACTTCTGCTGCACCGTACCACGTTTGTAGATCAGGTCAGGAGGTCTTTCAAGGAGGCGTGAATGCTGCATCCAAATATATGTTCGAGTCAAATTGCTGCAATTACTCGAAAATTAAGAAATGAAAAATCTTATTACCTTTTCACACCTCAAAAAATTGATCACACCATCCAAATTTTCCGGCTTCTCTACAAATGAAGCACTCTTTCCACTTGCATTGATGTAGTTTCTCCATTTTGAAAGCCACAATGTGGGAACCAAATAATACTTGCAATGCAGAGAAAGTGGAATTAACTTTCCAACGGCTAGTTTTTCGTGATTTTGTCGCTGTTTAAGCTTCACTCCTCTGAAGGATAAAACGGGTTAAGTAATTCTTCGAGCGAATCGACCACAAAGTTCACTTGAACATAATGAAATGACCTTATAGAATCTTCCATGACTGCCACTTCAGATAATTCCTCACTGCACAGAGAACATTGTCTTGCATCTGAGGGAAAAGTTGGAACCCCTGTAGGATCATCAGGTTTTACAGTAATAGCATCTTCATGTATGAAAAACCAGAGTTCGGCTGGAATCAGCACTCGTTTAGCTCCAGCAGCTTGCTCGGGCAAAAGTTGTCCATGAGGACACCTTATTGAGGCTGTTGGTTCGGAATCAGCTTCGGAAGGAGCATCGAGAATTTTCCTTTTAGCCCATTGTTGCAACCTACAAGTATGAGAAATAAACATGATTTGACTCAGAGATCATGAGTACTACATAGAAGGTTCTGGCTCAATAGTGTTTCAATTGGTAGTCTACTTCATCCCTTGATTTCTCTACAGGTCGTCGGACGGAGCATGGACATTTCCAAAATGAAAAGGCTCCTTGTTAGGGAGGTTCCGATCGACATACAAGAACAAGAACATTCCGATCAGCATACAAGTTTATTGAAGGTGGGGCATTCCACTCCCTCTTTTGTTTATTTCATCTCTTCGACGAAATAGTTTCGTACTCCAAAGATAGTAATATACATGCTTTAAGATGGAGAGAAGAAACGAGAAACGGTAACGGTTGTGAAAGTAGCTAAATTGCAGGTAAGAAAATGAAATCAGCATATCACAAGGCCACAAGTTTGAACACTCAAGCAAGAAGCAAGACAAATTTCTAATGAACCATCAGCTAAGCAGCATGATAAGAGAATCCAAGAATTTTGAAACAATACCATGTCCTGGAAACAAAATATGTTTCCAAAAGCGCAGCTAACGCAATTTCTTTCATTGATATTCTTCGGTCCCGGTAGCTGTCGGCACAAACTACGTTTCGAGCACCAGAAATAAGGCAATCCATACAGATATCTTCATTGGTCAATTTGGGCCCCCCACCATACTAAATTTTACAAGACAGCAGTCAGCCATATAAAAAAGATATCAAGAACCAACTTAAGCACCAACAATCACACGAGAATGAAACCGTGAGACTAACAAGAGATAAACCGACGCATAGAATTCTTTACGGAGCAACTTAAGCACATACCTTGGAGAATAGCTTGTCCCAAGCCTTGATGGACAATCTCTTTATGCATGTTACCTTTGACATTGGAACTTTTCCATGCAAACACTGAATGGTTGAATTATCAAGAATGCTGCAAACCATAACAAAGTAAGGGGTAACAAATTAAAAGAAGTTAGATACCACTGGAAGTTGTCAAGAAGAAGCACTAGAACATGACCATCCAGCAAGCCAAAAGGACAGAAACTAGAACAATTTCAATGGATCAGTACAAATATTATTTCTGTACTTACGGTGGGGAGACCTTATCAGCCCACTGGCGAAGCCAATTTACGGAAATCCAACAAAAGGGTTCGTCGAGCGAGTGAACAGGGGCTTCAGACAAAATCGATCGGACCTCCTGTCTACGATCATTGATACAACCCAGTTCAGCTTCCTTCTTCGATTCATATTCTTGACAAGCTATAACATGCGATTCATTTACACTACTTATCTCATCACACAAATGTGATGGAAGAGACGAGCCATCCTTGAAACGAACCATGTTACCTTCTACTTCTTTATTGTTAACATTAGAGCTAGTCACTTTGTTTGTGTTCTTTCCCATGCACCTTAAATTATACATCAGCATGTAGGCATCATTAGATGAAAAGATGTCAGTAGGACAACTAATACCAGATTCTGTTGATTGCTGAAGAATCCCGTTCGTTCGATTCCTTTCAGCAGTAACATTTACTTCTTCCTTGGAAACCAACGGAATGGTTAACTCAGTTCGAACAGATTTAGAATTAGCATTTGATGATTTTTCTCCAAATGGATGATGGCCTAATTTGGAAACATGTTCGTCGTCGAATTCCCACCACTGCCCTGTATTTTCATCCTTGATGTGAGCTACGTAATGGCCGCTGTTGACAGCAGTTCCTCTGTGAATCAGAACGGCCGACAAGTGATATATTGAGTCGGACTGAGAAGACTCAGCTAGCCGTTCCCGCATATCTAACACTTCAGGAAAATAAAGTGCAGATGTGATTTTCTTCTTTGTTGTAGTCTGCTGACACAAAACAACAATAACGATCAAACCCGAAGGACAAGTTCGAACCAACATAGCCAAAAGTCAGTGACAGAAAGCTTATATCAATAGTCAATGGTTTTATCAAAAAGCAATAAAGAGATGTTACGATTTTCAGTACCTTTGGAAGAAAAACACATCGCTTAAGCTGAAAGTTTAGAACGGGGGGCAGTGTACGTAGCTTGATACTGCGAGTCGCATTAACTCTTGATTTACATGACTCACAAAAATATTGATTATCACCATGAAGTTCTTCCACACTAAGATAATCGTCTAAACTCTCGTCTAAACTTTTCAAGCCAAGAACATTCAACTCCAATTCATAGAAGTCCTCCATTTTGGAAGAGGCTTCTGAATCCTTTCCGCAGTGTGAGCACCTAAATATGAAGCAAGATATCATTATAAACTTAAACTTGAATCAACTGAAACCTAGATTAAATTGTGCAAAGTAGCTAACAAATCCCGTTCGTTGGATTCGATTCGCATGCATTATTAATTAGTAAAGCTATTGAGGTGTTGTAACTAGACTCTGGTAAAACAAATTCTACTTACGTAGTTACATGAGACACGCTTCCACGGAAAAGATCTTGAACAATAGTCTTTGCTTTAGAAACTTTCGAGTGACTCAAGCAATGCTCGAGCAGAGAAAGAAGCAACGTCAGGAACTCGTGACTATCCTGCTGAACTCCATTATCCAACTCCAGTGTTTTTATGAAAGGGAATGAATCCACATAAGCCATCTTACTCGCGTGCAGGAGAGCAAAGAGCCGTACAAGCTGATCTAGAACTGGATTTTGTTTCAATACATCCGATTCAATCGAAAATATGCCTTCCCTGAAGCACTTGTTCATGTAGAGACACTGAAGGATACTATTAGCATAGCACGTTGCACCTAGATTCGTAAGACCAGCAGGAAAGTCGAGAGAAGTACGTTGATCCTTAGAAGGATCTGAACCAAGAGCTTGCACAATTTCTGACATCTTCTGCCATAGGCCAACCTTCCTGCTACCAGTAGGAGGTGGAATCAGCCCACAGAAACAATTCGGGTTATCCTTAGTATTCAACCGACATCCTTGACAACTCGGCTTCCAGATCATATAGAGCTGATTGATGTCATCGTCGGTTACTGCCCCAGATGAGTGAATTCTTCTGTAAATGATTAAACTCAATTCAAAACTCCTTAATACAGGTTCAAATCTGTGCAACATATGGAAATCAAAATCACTATTACCTCAATATGTCGGAACTGTTATCGACATTGTCTTCTTGTTTATGCCTTTTGTTCTTACTACGGGTAGTTGGTCGGCTCATAGCGAGGACAAACTAATACTGATTACAGAAATAAACCCAGAACACCATCTCAACTCAATGTAGTATTCATAACATATCACATTCAAGACAACAAAAAGGGGTACCAAATATCCAACGTTCCAATGCTTGAAAGCTTATATAACCAATAATCATCTGTGTCAGATTAAAAATTGCACTTGGAAATATATGATCATTCACGAAGTTTGCAAAAACTTCAGCAACCAAAGCCAAGACTCTGCTAGAGTAAAGCACCCGCATGAACAAACCAAACCTACATCGAAATAGAGCCATTGGCACAAGCAAATTTCCCTCGAAAAGTACAGAGAAAGACAAGTTCCATTGGCACAAAAACAAGAACGCCCACAACATTCTGTACTTCAAATTTAAGGGAAAAGAAACATAAAACAATCAAATGGCAATGAAATGGAGTAAAATACGAATTGGGATTATTGCGCGCGAAGAAGAACAAAATAAAAACAAACCCAGAAAAGAAAATCCAGTTCCATTAAAAGGATAGCGATGATCTTAAGCAAAAAATTGAGAGGTTTACCAGGAAGTGGAGAAGCTTGGTGTGAGCTGAAGGTAGAAGAAGATCATCGAAGGAAGAAGGGCATGAAATTAGGTGAAAAAACAAAAGCTATGTCCCGGTGATTGGAGTTTGTAAGGCAGCAATTGTTTGGATTAATTTGAGAAGAAATTATGTTGTGGCATTGTTTACTGTGATGAATTATGAAAAAATAGTGACGAAAAAGGGAAAAGAGAGGTTGCAGGGTCTGTGAAGGGTGGGGGTCAGACCGGTCAGAGGAACAGAACGGACTTCAGGAGAGAGAGAGAGAGAGAGAGAGAGAGGACGGCGTTTGAGAGGGACAACTGTACATTTCTTTTCCAATTTTCCCATTTCTTTTAAAAAATTGGATTTTGAGGCTTCTACAAATGGGTCGGGTCGGGTCATTGCGGTTTTCACCGTCTTAATTTCATTTTTTTTTTCTTTTATTTTTCTTATACGTCATATTTTGGAATTTTCAAAAATAAATGAAGTTTATCCAATCGAAGTATGATGTCATAATTAGATTTAAAATTTAATTAAATGAATAATATATTTGTGAATGGTACATTTTTACTTTTAATTAGATTTAAATTAGCAATGATTTAAGAGAGATTAAATTATTGGGGTTAGTTGTATTTTTTACGATAAGAAATTGTATTTCATGTGATGTTAAGAAACTCGATAAGAGAAGTAATTTAGAAATTGTATTTCATGTGATGTTAAGAAACTCGATAAGAGAAGTAATTTCTCTAAACGTAATATAGACAATAATAGTAGAGGATGCTCCCCCCGATGTGCCAATATAGCTCGTGAGAGAATTAGCATCTCCCGACCTTTTGATCTCTCATAAATACGATGTTAAAAAATAGCTAACTTCTCCTAACGCCGAACTAGTTTGAACGGTATTAATATACTCTCGTTTCTATCACAATAGTTATAAACAACTTCATATCGTACCTTTCAAATGATTTATTAAAAGTCATTTTTCACTGTTAGATTTTACACTTGTAAACGTAATTTTGATCAAAGTTACTTCAAACCTATCAAACATGTTGAAACAGAACAGTAAGAGGGAAAAGGGAGATCGCACAGCCTCACAGTTCATACAAAGAATGACATTTGAAAAGACACGTTTTACCCTGAGGAATCCTTGGCAGTATACCCATTGCTACTGAAAACCGTCCTCCAAACTTTAGGGAGAACAACACGAGTCATTGGCCCGATAGCCCCGGCGCAATATCCCCCTCATTGCCCCGACTTGCACGACATTTCATCGTCATCTCCTGTACATGTCCTCTGAAGACGAAACTTACTCCCTACAGACGCCCTCTGAACCATCCAAGTACCAAACGAACTCGAACATATGCATTGAATGTCTTCTTTTCTAGATTCCTTAAGTTTGGGGTGAGCTGAACGTCAGAACGCGATTAGAAGGTAGGCTGGACAGAGGAAAAGAACAAGTCGACTCCATTATCGAGGGTCGAACGAACTGTCTATTTCACCAACACCACCATTACTTCATTAACTTGACTCACCAGTTCATCTCTAAAGTAATTGGCATCAACACTGTTACTCAAACCACGACTTTCTCTGTAGCATCGCCAGTGTTCCAGGCTTTGACAACATGCACCAAGGGCACTGTAAAGTGTACTGCTAGATGGTCCCCTTAAGAGCAATGGCAGTGTAAGCGATAATGTACTGTATAATGAATACTTCATCTCATTCAAGCCTCGAGATCAATGCAAGAAAACATAGTTTGTTGGCTATTCACCTGCATCGTTCGCTGCTAACTCGACTGACAAAAGATCCCGAGCGTCAAGGTGCTCAGCAGTTTGATAAGGTGAGGATCTAACCATGAAATAAGGAGTAGCTCCACCACTTTGCATTGTATAAATGAAAGTTACTGCATTCAATTACGGGTCACGTTATGGCGTGCCTCAAACTCCTCAATCACAATCCCGGCAGCATACTCATTATAGAGCCCGACCTTCACAATTAAGCCAGGCATACACTTGTGCCACAGTTTCGAGTCTTATCCCATCAATGATGTTTCCTACAATAGGAGCCAAACAGCTTATAATTCATCTCCGAAACACTTTCAAAATCTGCTCCTCGATTAGATGCTTACTGCTCAGGGTGTTGGATTTCTTGCACCATCTGTGCTTAACACAGCAGTGAAGACAGTGAAAACAGTGATATTACTGCTCAGGGTGAGAGCCCTGGCTTCAATCATATTAACGCTTTGATATCCTGCTGTGCTTTCCATGAATCTTGGAATCATGACAATGTTATGCACATTGAGAAGACAACAGACTCCAAAATAGTGTACAAAGCATAGCATAGACGCATACCTCGAGGAGGAGCACATCTGAAATGTCCACAAACAGAAGGCCGAATCGTTACTTGGTCAGTAAATAAGAACTAACGTCGATCTCCTATTATTCCGAGCCAAAATGGCAATAGTAGTGCTGTAATCTTGAATAATTTTGTGTTAAACAGCTCCTCAAGCCATCACTGTCATCCACCTTTGATAAAACTTAAATGCCATGTCAGGCTCTCCTATTCTACGGTACTTTTCAAAAATAACTTTAAATGGAACAATATCCATTGGCAAACCAGATTCATGCAACTTCATAAATAGATCTTCTGCCTCCTTCATTTCACCACACATACAGTGACCTCTTATTAGTTCGGTGTACGTTATCTTATCTGGTTCGTATCCCTTTCGCAGCATTTCATCATATAATTGAAGTGCAAAATGAATTTGTCCACACTTATAAGCACCACTTATCAACAAATTATAAGTAACAACGTCTGGAAAAAGACCCAACAAAACCATATCCTTTTTCAGAGAATAAGCATTAAATATGTTACCTCCTTTAATTTGTGCGTGAATCAACGCATTGAACGTAAATACATTTGGTAGCACACCAGTGGCCAACATCTGATCCCTGATGGAGATCGCGTTGCTTAAATCTCCATACCTTCCATAACAATCAATTATCAGGTTCCAGATATGAGGCTCAGGAACCATTGATCTTTCTAACATGGAATGAAGAAACTCATTAGCTTTGATAACATCTCCACTAATGCATAGACCTTGAATAATCATTTTGTATGAAATTTGATCTGGAGAAACACCCATTCTTGACATGACATCATGGATATAGTACGCCTCGCCAAATTGGCCCTCTTTACAAAGATCACTGATTAGAGTGTTGTATGTAAAAATATCAGGAAGAAAACCCCTCTTAAGCATATCAACAATATAGCCGAGTGCAATTTTCTTGTCTCGATTCAAACAAAGCCCGTGAATAAGAACATTATATGCAACAGCATCGACCTTTGTCTTCTTTTCAACCATCTCATCCCATAAAGCAATAGCCTGCATCATATCTCCACTTTTAAAACAACCATCCATCAGTATAGTTGACGTGATTGCATCGTCCGATGTCTTAATATCATCTAGGATATCTTCAAGAAACTTCCAAGCATCGTCCAAGAGACCTCTCTTGCACAATGCATGTAAAAGTATGTTATAAGTGATTCTACTTGGCCTAATACCACCATTAGCCATCGTATAAAATAGGTCGAGAGCTTTATCCATATTCCTACAAAGGCAGAAACCCTTAATAATAATGTTGTATGTGGCACAATTGGGAGAAGGACCCATTTCTAACATTTCCCTAAAAAGAGACTCTGCGATCTCCATATCACAGTTTATGCACAGTCCATTCAGAAGATAATTGTGTGCAAGTAAATCAACAACAAAACCTTCTCTTATCAACTTTCTGCGAAGCAAAAGAGCTGCTCCTAACTTTCCTTTCAAACACAAATCCCTAACCATGAATGTGTAGTCAGGCTGAACGGCATCCACAATGCATTTCTGAAGACCCGACTTCGCTAAAGATATGCTTTCCCTGCATAATTTGAGGCATTCAACAGATTTTTACAAGATGGTACTTTGTAATCATTGAAGGCATAGAAAATCATTACAATTTGTCTGATATCACAAGACAATTGGAAAACTAATATATTCCATCAGTAGTCAACTTTTCTATTTTCTTATCCTCATTACAACAAGAAATAATAGTACATCAATAATTATATGTCATTGAACTAAAATACCGATTAAGAATACTCAACTCTAAATAAAGAAGCAATTAGCAGCAAAAAACTAATCCAGCTTAATTTGACTTTATATAAAGATGGATGTGAAATGACTCATTCCCCAGAAACTTAAATCAACTGACAATTGTTGTGTACTAATGAAGAAACACGGAGATTAAACGCGGAGGAACCCCAGTTCTTAGAATTCTCAGAATCGAAGCTTTCCCTTGGTTCCCACAAATTCCCTAAAACGTTATTGAGGTGAGGCCCCACTGACATACTCTTATCTTTCCTGGGAGTTCTCTTCAGCTAAACCTTCAATCCACGGTCACTGATTATAGCTTGAGTGCAATGTTGACTTGCAACAACTCGCATACTAAGGATAGTTCTATGCTCACTTAAGCACCTTCATTCGCCAAGAAGACAGTGGTTTGAGCCCAGAAAATGTGAACTAGAGCATCTACTACTCATTTAATATAGAATTTCCCCAACCAGCTACTTCAGGATGCATAGGCTCGTAGAAAGAATTGTGGTCGGTGCAAATAATTTGTGGTTGTCACGATATTTAAAGGACATAATCACTCCATACATTAAATAAGTAACAGCCCAAGTCCATCGCTAGCAAATATTGTCCTATTTGGGCTTTCCCTTTCGGGCTTCCCCTTAGGAATTTTAAAACTCGTCTACTAGGGAGAGATTTCCACACCCTTATAAAGAATGGTTGTTCTCCTTTTCAACTGATGTGGGATCTCACATATATGGTATTGTTCCTCAAATAGGCAGGATGGCTTTCATCTATCCATGCTCGCATTGAAGAATAGATGTTCGTGTTCTGAGATTCCGAACTACCATACCCAATGAAAAAAAAAAAATCTGATTAAATCATTAAAAAAGAAAAGCAAAAACCACCTCATAGCTTTCAAACGATCCAAACTACCCTTGAGCAGAGCGTCCAACACGTTGAAAACAGCCTGCGGATTTCCTTCGCCCTCAAAATTGTGCTTTTCTGAAAAGCAATCCGAGGATCTCAACTCGCAATTTTCATCGACGGTTGCCATCAAACTTTTAATGGCAGAGGGGAATGAATCCTCATCCTCGTTAGACCTATGAATGTAATGTCCAGAATAAGAAAGCGTAAAGAAGTTCACTGATTCAAAAACAGATCAAGCATTAAAGAAACAAGATGGTGTATTTGCACGA